GAACTATTGTTTTGCCTATAATGATGTTGTTGGGTGTCAGCATGGATCACTTATGCTGGTTAGTGGGTCAGAACGTCATGTGTCCAAGACCGACATTTAAGGTTTCAGGTCACAGTTTAGATTGACACCCCAGTGCAGTTTTGGGATAGTGCTATATTATTTCAGGTGTGGTCCTTTGTATGAGACATTGAATTGAGGCCCTGTCTGCCTGTTCAGATGGTTCTCAATGCTGCAAGATGCTATCCTGCTTGAAGAGCACTATGTAAATGCAAGTGGTTGTTGTTGTTGCTGTTAACAATCCCATGGCACTATTTCAAAAACAGAAGGCAGTTTCTCCTGTTGGCAATCCTGGCCATCAGCCCTCCAGAAAATTGGTCATTCACCTGATGGCTTATAATCTGGAATGCATTGCCTGAAAGGGTGGTGGAAGCTGATTCAATAACAGCTTTTAAAAGAGAAATAGATAATTATTTGGGGAGGAAAAGCTTGCAGGGCTATGGGGAGAGAGCGAGAGTGATTTGGATAGCTCTTTTCAAAGAGCCGGCATAGACACGATGGGCCGAATGGTCTCCTTCTATGTTGTATAATTCTATCAACCTGGGCCAACAGAAAAGTGCGGCCGCACCTTTTCAATGGAATCCACTACAAATCCGCTACAGTGGAATCCGCTTTCCTCTGTATGTGTGTCTGTTGGACGTCCTCCCGACATGAAAGGCGCTATACAAATGTAAACTTGTTGTTATTGTTGTTTGTGAGGGTCTCTGTGTGAGTGTGTTTGTGTGTTTGTCTCCTCTGTTTGTATGTTTGTGAGTTTGTCTGCGTGTGTCTCTTTTATATGTGTGTATTTCTGAGTGTCTCTATGTGTATGTGTGTCTCTCCTCTGTCTGTGTGTATATCTGTGTCTATGAGCGTGTCTTTCTCTCTCTCTTTGTAAGAATGTGTATCTTTCTCTGTGTCTATGAGTATGTGTGTCTCTGTGTGTGTGTGTGTATCTCTCTCTGGGTCTTTGGTGTGCAGTGCCAGCCCTGAGAGGCAGGAGGTGGTGAGATCCTGTAGCCTCGCTGGTGTTCCCCCCGTCCCCCCAAAAAGGGCCACTCAGTTCATGTTAAAGAAGTCATTAATATTTTTTTTTGCAACAATCCAATATGTGTTTTCCCTCATGTTTAGTTTTTATCAATAAAGCAAAAAAATGTAGTTTGACAGTAAAATGGACCTCAATAACACCAGTCAACTCCCTGCAACTTTCTGCAAAATGTGTCAAAAATGCTCCCGGTTTGCAAATCTGCCTGCAATTTTGGGCAAATATATCTGCACTTTTCTATTGGCCCAGCTTATAAGATGTTGCTGTGTAACAAAATGGCTGTCAACTTGCCCACGCTGGTAGTGTTGAACACTTGCTTCCACAGTGATCTAATATTAATATAATCCAAAGGTATTGAAGAATCGTATTTCATTGTGCCACTGGGGCTGCCTCACTTACCACCATTGCTTTATTTTATAAATGTACAGCTTTAACTTTTTTTTAGCTTTTAAATTCCAGGCAATTTTTTTAATATGAGGACATCATGCTGTGCATCATAATTATATTTAAAGCCAGAAGATAATTATTTGGGGAGGACAAGTTTGCAGGGCTATGGTGAGAGCTGGAGAGTGGGATTGAATTGGACAGCTCTTTTCAAAGAGCCGGCAAAAAGACATGATGGGCCGAATGGTCTCCTTCTGTGCTGTATAATTCTATAATTCTATGATTCTATGAACTTTATAAGTCTACAGTCTAAACTCGGTATCAGCTGTTGCCGTACACAATATCATTCCATCATGTTTAAAAAATAATCGACTAGTCCCTTTACAGAAGGCGATGGTAGAATATCTAATTGCAAAGGACTGACAGCCTTTTACTTTTTATCCACTAATCAAAAGATCCAGCTCATTCAGAACTCTGCTGCCTGCATACTATAATAATAATAATAATAATCCTTACATTTGATATAGCGCTTTTCACGTCGGGAGGACGTCCCAAAGCGCTTCACAGAACACACTGTAAAGTGAATTGACTGTATATTTGTGGGTGAATGCGGCAGCTAATTGCGCACAGTAATGTCCCAAAACAGTCGTAGATTGAAAATGACCAATTTATTATTGTTTTTGGAGGGATTATTATTAGGTGTGTGGAGTAAGGAAACTTGCCCAAGGTTTCGCCCTGCCTGGAATTCAACTCAGGTCTCTCGCTTGCAAAGCGAGTGCTCTAACCACTGAGCTACAGGACTCCAAACCAACCCAAACCTGACCCGAACCAAACTTCGTACCCACATCTCACCAGTTCTGGCCAGGATCCACTGGCTCTCCATCACCGATCGGATCGACTTCAAGATCCTCACACTCGTGTTCAAATACTCTCTGGCACCTCCCTAACTCTCCGACTTTCTCACTCCCCAATCCACCACCTGGCACCATTGCGCTCCCTCTGCCCCAACCTTGGAGGTCGCGTTTTCAGCCAGTACCTCCCGAAACTCTGGAACACTCTCCCTCAATCCCTCCGCCTCGCCCACTCTCTTCGCTTTTTCAAGTTCCGCCTGAAAACCTTCCTCTTTGACCGTGCTTACGGTCACCTCCTCCTCCCCCCTCCCCCGGCTCGGAGTCAGGCTCTGCCACTGTTAAGTGCTCTGAGATACTACCCTGCATGGAGGGTGCTATATAAGTGCGAGTCGTTGTTGTTGACTGACAGACCCTCATGGGTATTGGCAGGATGGATCACTGCTTTGTTGGATTCAGTATTTAATAACTCACAATCTCGGCTGTTACCTTGAGGCCAATATAGATAACTTTAGAGTAAGTACTTTATATTAATCTCTTCCACATCTTTAACTTTGATTTGCCCTTCTGTCGATTTAATGATAACAAATCGTCAAAAAGGTCTCATCTGTGGCGCACAAAAGATGGATAATTCGGGTGAAACGATGTACTTAATAATAATGACATGCACCTTTCACATCAAATACATAAATGTCTTGAATTGCTTTATAAAATAAAATTGATTGGAAATCAAAGTGAATGTTGTTATATATCGGCAAATGTGGCAGCTAATCTGAGCCTGCAATGCCCCATAAAAACAGTAATGTGTCAAGTGGCCAATTAATGTGAATTTGAATGTGGAGGGGAATGTAAGGCAGGATAACAGAACAAAAGACTCCACGTTTTTTGAAATAAGGACAGCAAGGTAGTCACTTCATGTTCACCTCAATCACAAGGAAGATCAAACCTAAATTAATAGTACAGTACTATCAAGATAAGGGATAATGATCTAAAAAAAATCAACTTCATTTGTGTAAGGAAGATGCTAATAATAATAAACCTTACGTATGATATAGAATCTTCCGCATGTGGAGGAAGTCTCAAAGCATTTCACGGATTTACTGTAAAGTGTAGTGGTAGTGATTGTTTTTGTAGGCAAATGATTACAGAGTACATAGATCAGTTCTGCCTGTTTTATTATTATTGATGCATTTTGGTACTTTTTTATATTGAAATGAAAAATAAGTAAACTGCTTGTAAAAAGACAAACATTTACTATTTTAATTTTGTTGACAATAAAAATGCAATTACAGGTTGTTGAACTCCAGCAGTAACCCCATGCACACTCTGAGGGGTGGGTGGTGGGGGGGGGGGTGCACACGCCTTGGCTCTTGCCAACCTGCGCCTAATATTCAAATTAGGTAAGCAGGCCACGTCCCTCCAGGGAGAAGGTGTACATTCCATTTCACAAGGAAAATTCAGAGTGTAGGTGGCATGTCTATGTGAAACTCTGAGTCTGGTTTGCATATGCTTAAGCTTGGTGACAAATTCCAATATGTTTTAGATGCCTGGGAGACCAAAAATACAATTGATATAACATAAAGCTCATTTACTTTTCTAAACTACAAATGATGTTATATATGTATTTCTGTTCAATACTGGGAGTAGAGAGAGAGAGCGAGAGAAAAGTACATGTTAGAATCTTAATGTTACCTAATTTCTTTTGTGCAGTTGGAAACCTGTCAGGTTAGCCTGAATATCTGATTTGATTACAGATTCTCCGTCAGACTGAAATGTCAACATTCAAAGCAATCAAAACTTGGTGTCAGTCCAATAATGTAATTGATTCTCTTATGAAAATCATGATCTGCCCAAACATCAGGGGGTAAATAGAAAATATTTCAAATAAAATTAGTTATTTCAAAGAAAATTAGCTATTTCAAAGAAGATGCTGTGAATCGCAGCAGATCGATCAGCAGGATACCATAATCGGTGGGGCTTTGTTAGTAGGTTTTAAGCTAAAATAAACTGCAATTATTTTAATTCATCAAATTGACTCTTAAAGTGTCAGCCTGGTTTAGTTGATGGCTTTCTCACCTGAGTCAGAAAGGACTTTTCAATTCACAGTGTAGGCTGCTGCTCCAATGCAGTGCTGGGGGCGTGCTGTATTGCTGAAAGTGCCGTCCTTCGGTGAGATGTTAAACTGAGGCCCCATCTGCCTGTTAGATATCCCATGCCACCATTCAAGCAGAGACGGGAATTGCTCCCAGTGTCCTGGCCCAGATAAAGTTAATCATTCCCTTTGTGGCTGTTTATGGCACATATCTGTGTTCACCAACAACTTGCAGTCAGTGCATTTCACAGGAAACCTTGTGAAAGACGCTTTAGGTGTCTTCCCAATACTTTGAGACTTTGTGGCAAGTAATACATTTGAGGTGGTTCACAAAAGCATTTCCAATGAATTTGGTCCATACCTGAGCAGCATACAGTATCATTATGGAGTTACAATGTGCACACTGCTGCCGTGTCTAATGCAGTGAATTATTGGTTCAATGAGGTTCATCTTTACGCGAGGTGACGTTGTAGTTATGATCAGTTATAACTGCTCATGCACTCACTCTGTGAAATTTCACAGGTAAGATTAATTCATTTTATAATAAAGCAGTAAGATCATGTTGTAACTGGTTGTTAATGTTTTTTTTGACAAGCCCACACATCATCTTCCTGTCACAGTCTGTGTTGTCTGGAAAGGACCATCTGTGCGGGGTGCGACTGTGCCACGAAGTGGCTCACGCCTGGTTTGGGCTTGCAATTGGTGCTCGAGACTGGACGGAGGAGTGGATAAGTGAAGGCTTCGCCACCTACTTGGAAGACGTGCTTTGGGCAGATGCACAAAAGGTACCATTTAACTTTGGATTATTTTGAAAACGGCTTGTTTTCACATACTTATAAAGTTTTCTAAATGAGGAGGATAATAAAGAAGCATGTACAAGTGATTTTCTTAACAACAGTTCTATTCATGGTTAAAAAAAATTAAAAGTAACATTTACATAATTTATCCTTTCAGAGGATAAGAAAATATAATGAAGAAAGCCATTTATCTTGCTTCCTCCCCTGTCAATGCCAAACCTACCCTAACTTGAATATTACCCAACTCACTCTATCCCCTGGGGGAGTTCCACATGGAGATTTAATCTCCAGGGTAAACGCTCATACATTCTGGAATACTTGTGATCTTTCATCTCCACTATTCAAACCAGGCCTCCTTTACAGAGTACATTTTTCTTTCTCTCTTTCTTTACCCCCCCCACCCCCTCCCTTCCCAGTAGCATAGATGTCATTGATCACTGTGCTACTTAGAAAATTAGTTCATTTCAATTTTCTCTTCCAATATTGTTCTCAATCAGATATTGATACAGATCTATTATGAAAGATGAAACCAATACCATCAACGCCTGTGATGAGAGGAAGTAATGGAAAATTAATAGTGAAAGAAAGTGTTAAAAAGGAGCTTTTTTCCATAAAATGATTTCCCTATTAAATTCACTATGGGTTTTTTAAGAACACAAAAGGGCTGTATGTGTTAAATGGATACAAAAGCTATTTTTAATATCCAGATCGGTTGCTATTTATGGCTAAATCATTCACATTCAATCAGTTGATGCAACGTTGGTGATATTTATTGAAGAGGAGTTCTGCACATTGAATTCTCCATCCTTTATTGTCAGTATACCAGCATTCAACACTTGCCAACATGTTGTCTTTTGCTCAACCAAGTTGTTGTTGCTCAAAGTACATCCCTTCCAAACACAGTATGGAGTTTTTTTTACTCACAGTCTTGCCTAGACTCTTGGGATCTAATATTGGATCTAAGCTGGACCAGATTGTGTTGTATTACTTGAGTCAGAAATGCCCCAAATAAGGAATGGTTGAGTGCAGAATGCTCACAGCTTTCCAAAATTACATTTCCCTTGTTAGAAAGTGCATTTCAAATGCATTTAGAATATGGGGATGCTTATAAAAAAAAATCAAAGAATGAATAAGGAAGTGCAAAGAAACCTATTTATATAATACCTCAAAAAACGCTCTTCTCAAAGCTTTAGAGAGGCTTAAAAAGCGCTCCTTGGGAAAGTGATAGCATTACTGGAAAAAAATCCACCTCACTACATAGATGTTCGCTCCCTCCCTTCCCTCCCCTCACCCTGACCATTTACCCCCTGCTCGGGTCCTGACCCAACTGTCCAGCGCCTTGGGACATCCTCCCGATGTGAAAGGCGCTCTATAAATGAAATCCTGTTGTTGTTCTCTGCAAGGAAACCCATGCATATCAGATTGCTCCGTGAGACTTTGGCTCTGAATCAGATCAATTTGGATCAGATGTCTCACAAGTCAGAGTGACAAACATGGCATTCCCTATGAAAAATGAAAATATAAGTCTCAGGAGGAGCTTTTAGAGGTATATCAGATGCTTACAAGATGGAGAAAGTAAACCCAGAACAACTCTCTGATTAACAGTAAGCATCACCTGTTATCTCAACCTAACCCAGTTGTCAAAGCTTTAGAGAATGTTTAACAGGATAAAGAAAGTAAAAATACACAGCGAGACAAGAGAGCACAAGTTTAGGCTTCCCAAGGGCAACTTTCTACAGTTATATTATTGTATTTATGTACGCAGATATGTATGTGCAGGTTACATCCATATGTGAAACTCCCTCTGGTTTGGATTCTCTGAAGCATGGTGATGGGTTTCTGCATTGTCAGACATCCTGCTGACAAAAAAAATCTGATTCCCCCAGTCATCCTGTTCTCAACCTTGCTCTAACATTAGAGCTAAAGTTGTTCAGCAACATTATTTTAGCGAATTTATATTTACTTTGAAATGCGAGTATCAACCAGCATTTAGCATGATAAAAGTGTGGATTGACAACCAGTGTCTGTGTTCTGAAACATTTGTGATTTGATCAGATAATTACTGATGTGCCTGAGACACAGTGGTTCAGTATTATAATCTTTGCATTTGATATAGCGCTTTTCACGTCTTCTCAACGTCTCAAAGCGCTTCGCAGAATAGACTGTAAAATGAATTGACTGTATATTTGTGGGCAAAACGCGGCAACCGATTGCACACAGCAGTGTCCCAAAACAGTCATGGATTGAAAATGACCAATTTATTATTGTTTTGTTTTGGAGGGATTAGTATTAGGCGTATGGAGTAAGGAAACTTGCCCAAGGTTTCGCCCTGCCTGGAATTGAACCCAGGTGTCTTGCTTGCAAGGCAAGTGCTCTAACCACGCTATATCAAATGCAAGGATTATAATCCTGAACCACTCTGTCTCAGGCACTTTAGTACTTATCTGATCAAATCACAAATGTTTCAGAACACAGACACTGGTTGTCAATCCACACTTTTATCATGCTAAATGCTGGTTGATACTCGCATTTCAAAGTAAATATAAATTCGCTAAAATAATGCTGCTGAACTAACCTTAGCTACAGGACTCCACAGGATTATTGTTCACATATCAAATACTAAACAGGCTTTAGGTGTCAGTCTGGAGTATTGGTAGTACTCTCATCTTTGAGTCAGAAGGTTGTGGGTTCAAGCCCCAAATTGGGACTTTCAATCTCAGTCTAAGATGACATTCCAATGCAGTGCTGGTGGTGTGTTGCATTGTTAGAGGTGCCGTCCTTTGAATGAGACACTAAACCAAGGTCCCATCTGTCTGTTCAGGTGGATGTTAGTGATCCCAAGGCAATGTTCAAAAAGAGAAGGGAGTTTCTACCAGTGTCATAGCCAACAATCCCCCAAAATAAAATTGGTCATTCACTGTTTGTGGGGCATCACTTTGCGTAACTGATTGCCGAGTTTTGCTCATGAAATCCACAGTCAATCCACATTATAGTTATATTCTGTGAAACATTTTGAGACATCTCAATGTTGTGATAAGACTATATCAAATGCAAGGATTATTTATTATTATTTATTTAAAGATCCACAATTTTCTGTAGCATGTTCAACTTGACCTCGCACAGAGTATTCCCTTTGCCCCCTCTCTCTCGGGACTGTTCCCAGGGCCCGAATCAGGTAGCTAGGCTACTACACACTCAGGTCTTTGAGGCTGCTATTTTTATTTCCTCTGCAGAAATATTATCTAGGTCTGCTTTTCACAGCAAGATTCAATTACGATGTCATGAAATATAATAATGTCAGCAACAATGCAGACATTGTAAACCGCATCGACAGTTTGAATAACAATGATCTGCACAAGCCTATTTTTTCACTGTTGGCTTAAAGCCTAATATATTCCTACTTTTGAGTAATAAGTGATTTCCCAGGTCAGCAAATTAAGTTCAAATTAAGTGATGCATTGTAATTCTGAGTTGGGCTGTGAAGTAGGCTTTCTTATCATTCCTATGTCACCTCCATTTTCTCCCCAGCTCAAAGTCAAATGCTCTGAGATGACATTCCATGTGAAGGACACTATATAATGCAGGTTGTTGTTGTTCATATACCAGGCCCATGTATCACCATGACCCTCCCTTGCCTCCTTCAAGACCCATCTCAAGACCATTCTCTTCGACCGTGCTTTCGATCACCCTCCTTACCCCCTTCCCTCCACTCTCCCCAATCCCGAACCCCAGCTCTGGTCCGAAACATTGACTGTCCAGCACCTTGGAACGTTCCTCCCAACGTGAAAGACGCTATATAAGTGTAATTTTGTTGTTGTTGTTGACTGGCATTAGTAAATCAGAAATGTAGCAATAGTGTGAATTTACGACTTGATAAAATAACTGATTTTGTATCTACTTCAGAGGAATATTGGACCTGACAGGAATAAGTGCAGAACGTGACGAGCAGTTACTCAGTGGAACGCATTGTGGGGCCGGGGGAGAGGGGGCAATCATTTTGAGAGGGAGGCAAGGATTAGACAGAGGAAATGTTGGGATGGAAGATTATTCTGCATTTTTTAGAGTGAGTGGGGATATGTAGCCAGTGGTATGGAAGGTTTTTCATATTCTGGATGGAGTAAGGTTGATGGGCTGAATGGCCTTTCTCAGTCAATCCCTCACTTTACATTTTGTTGGTCAGCTGAGACACTTGCAGAAACCTAACACCCTGCTTTAAGAGTATCCAAACCCGACTGAGAATTCCAGGCATGTCACCTTACACATGGAAATTCTGTGTTTGGCATGGAATGCACACACTTTCCTTGGAGAGACTCATCCTGCTTACCTAATTCCGGAGAGTATTAGGCGCAGGTTGGCAAGAGCCAAGGTTTGGGGACCACAGAGTGCGCGTTGGGATACTGCTGGAGTCTGACCAGCTAAAACTGGATAGCTTGCCAATTGAAAGCATTGTCTGGCAAGCTTCCTGTTGTTTATGCAGGTAGGACAACCGTACATGTTAGGGCTTTGGCTTAACATGATATCTGCAATGAACATATCAAATCTGTTATGAAACATAAAGAGTTCAAGATATCAGTTGAATAGAAAAATGATATTTAAAAAAAGATATATTTTTAAACATCCTGCTTGTCTATGTTTATTTATTATCACTGTTGCTGAATTCATCGAGTTGCAGGCTTAACAGGGTTAAGCATGAGGAATGTATAATTTCCTGATGCAGCCTTCCTGAGATAGGGCGGCTTCATTGATTATTTGATTATTTCTCTGCAGCTTCCAGAAGATGAAGCTGATGAGCAACAGCAGCTGAAATCCTTGTTGAGATGGCGACGGCTCAGAGATGAAGTTCAGAATTCTGAAGAAGAGTTGCAAGTGCTGAGGTGAGTACCACGACTGTACATGTTCAGGGATGGGCTGAGGTAAATGTGTTCACCCCTTCAACTGGTGGAACCATCGCTCAATGGGATGGGATGTGTGCCTGAGCTGAGAACAGGAAGATGGTAGCAATGCTCTCATGCATTTCATGCTGAGTTGTGTTGCCCACTGGGAAGCTCGCAGGGAGATCCTGGTATCTATTATCCACCTAGTGAGGGCTTAAACCCGGGCTTGTGGGCTGTCGAACAACAAATTGTAACTATCCTCCTTGGGTCGGGGTGGTGGAGGGAGATAAGTGGGGTCTCCTTGGAGCTGAACTGGCTCCAAGGTGATATGTCTGGCAACGGAATGTCGGAATTGAGCCAACTCTCTCTGGCGGCCTCATTAGTCCGGTTCTCGAGCCAGGCAGGCCCACGGTATTCCAGGGCACAGACGACGACAGCACAGCCAGCGTGACTCAACGGCAGGACTTGGAAGAGCAGACCAGTCACTGGGGGCAGGGAATTCTCTCACTCAGCTCCTGTTAACCCTGCAAGCCAAAGCCTAACGGGTCAGGTGGCCCTAGCTGGACAAGCAGCGGAAAAGCTTGCTAGATAGCAACGCCAACGGCAAGCTATGTGGTTTTAGCTGGTTAGACTACAGGAGTATCCCAATACACACTCTGTAGTCCCTAAGGCTTGGTTCCTGCCAACCTGCGCCTAATACTTTCCGGAATTAGATAAGCAGGAGGCGTCCCTCCAGGGAGAGAGCGGCATTCCACTCGAACAATCTATCTCTAGAATTTCCATGTGGAGGTGGGAGGCATGGAATTCTTGGCTCGGTTTGGATACCCTTAAGCACGGTGATAGGTGTATGTGTCAGACACACAGCTGACAAAAAAAAATTGGACACATTCAGCTTTGCTGTGAGTGGTTGGTATGGACTTACCATTCAAGGGAAACAGCCTTTGCCACAGTTATTTTATGATTTTGGAGAATAACTATTTTTTTAAATGGTTTAACATTCTGAGTGTTGCTGATGAGTAGTCTTGTCAGTTTGAACCAGCAATTCTGTATCATTTAATTTTCTCTTTTCTATTTTTTCTTACCATTGGCTTGGCAGGTCCTCAGCCTCCTCATGTTGAGGTGCTGTTCCATGAGCCCTGGTTGCCCTCTGATACCAGACTCAATTGACCATTGTTTACATGTGAGCCTCGGCAGTGAGTAACGGCAGGCCACTTGGTTGTGGAGAGTAACACAACTGAGATCTTCTTCTCAGCCAATTTACACACACATACACAACCTATAGGCTGCTAAAGAGCGACTAAGAGCCGGAACCCAGACCGACTTTCCCCTCACTGACCCTGGGAAAGATGAGGCCAGTTTAGTTTCTCATTCTGCTTTAGCTGACACCAGCAATGTCAGCACGGACTGGGATACAAACCAGTGAGCTCCTGATCCATATCCACTGGGGATGCCGCACCAGAAACTTGTTTCTTTGAGAATCTGACAAAGAACCACCCATTTGTGTCAGGCTAAAGATGTTGTTAAATTGAGACTTCAAAAGCATTGATATCTTACAATTCTTTAAGTGATTTTCATACAATTGTTTCAATATTATAGGCCTAACAAAGAGAACACGGGTCAAGTGAGTGACTCTGGTGCAACAGTTGTTAAGCACGGTTTAAATCCTGGAAAAATCTTCATGCAGGTCCATTATCTAAAGGTAAACCTTTTACAGTTTTTAAAAAATGTTTCCAATTCTCTCTTCATCTCTCCCAATTTTGGTGGTTTGTGCTGGAATATGGTTGTCAGTAGCTTCAGTTTTATGGTATTTTGCCAAAGAGATTCTCATATACAAGACTAAACTTTTCTCTCATTGTCCTGACAAGCAACCCTCAAGATTGATTGGTCATTCACTCCATGGCTGTTTGTTGAAATTTACTGGAGCAAATAGCTGCTGCATTTGGTCACAAAGCAGTCACTACATGTGTACGATGATTATTTGTGAAGAACTTTGAGATGTTTTTATGGGATAAGGTACTGTAAAAAAGGAGACCCTTTTCTTTGTTTCTAAGCCATGAGTATCAGAAGACGACTTGAGAATGTGAGCATCACAACCCAGCTTGATCCAATCCTCACTCAATGTCCACACGTTTACAGTTTCTACAGAAGAGAGATCATAATCTATACTAATAAATACAAAATGTCTGTGTGTCTGTCCGCCAAGATGTAGAGACATGATTTATAACTCATCAGAAAGGTCTTTGTATATATTAAAAAATATATGTAAAAAANTATATAAATATATATATATTAAAAAATATATATAAATATATACAATATATTAAAAAATGCTTTAATTAAGCCCCAAAGTATGCATCGTATTCTGCAATAAAGTAGCGACAGAGGTTAGACACCCTTCTAGAGAGATACATCTATCCATATTAATAAAAGACAAAATGTCTGTCTGTGCGTCTGTCTAACCAATTCATGTAGAGACACCAACAGTAGTCCTCCCAACTGGGAGTCCTCCCACAGGAATCCTTCAACTGAGTCCTCCCAACAGGAGTCCTCCCAAAAGGATGTGTGCAAATATGTGAACAAGGGATGCTAACGAGTTCAATAGCATATTTTCTTAATCTTAAGGGATAAAGATGCCTAAGAAACGAAGATCAAGCCTTTCAAGATCAAATAAAAATGCCAGATGAAAGAGAGAAGGCCGATTTAATGAAACTGGTTGCAAGTGTAGCAGCAACGGGTACTGCAAGTCAGTAATATTCCTAATCACTTACCCTTCCTAGCCTCTTTGTGCTAATGCCAATTCTAGAAGCTCTAATTCCTGCTCTAGATAACTCAGGGATATGGGAACTCCATGAGGTGCTCAAGAGTCTACAGTTCCAGCTACCAGGGAACTAACTTTTGTTGGGCAGTTTTAGGGTGTGCAGTCTTGTTCTATAATAATCTAAAAATATTCCTTGCATTTGGTATCGTGCCTTTGGTGTTGGGAAGGCATCTCAAAGAGCTTCAAATGATTTATTGTAAAGTGTAGTGGTTGTGCATTTTATAGGCAAACAGGGCAACTGATCTGAGCACAAACAGCAATGAAGTGAATGACTAATTTTACTTGGGGCATTGTTGGCCAGGACACCAGGAGAAACTCCCTTCTCTTTTGGAGCACTGCCATGGAATCTTTAATGTCCACCTGAACAGGTCGACACGACCTTGGTTTAATGTCTCATCTGAGGGACAGCACATCCCACAATGTAGCAATTTCCCTACAGCACTGATTTGAAGTGTCAGCCTAGACTGAGAGGCCCATTCATGAATAATGACCAGTTGGTTGGAAACTGAAAGTGACTGACACCTGTAACATTATGTACCTTAGTAAACAAAGTGGGTTAAAATGCATTCAGGAAAGGAAGGGAGAAAATTGGAGCAGGAAAATTCAATGGGGGTGAGATGACCTGATAAGGTATTTCTTATAATTAAACTGAGAATATTTTTGAATGTACAAACTGCCCTCGACATTGGGTGCTGCAATTGTTGTCAGCTGTGTGACTTGTGCAAGATTATTTGAGTTAATGTGCAGAATTCACATGAATGCTGTCGACTCCTCTCAAATAATATGCTGCATTCACTCCAAGAAGCCTGATGAGATGTTTGGATATTTGGCATCTCCTGTAGTTTGACAAATGTCTGGACTGTCATAACCGAGTGGTACGAAACACTCGTGTTTTGCAGTAATATTTGATGGTGTGTAGGCTATAAATGTGAAAGTGATTCCAATGTTCAATGTCTCATGTTTATCATTTGGTAACACAGATGAAAGGTAGTCAAAGACCTTGTTTTTATTGTTACGTTGCTATACTCTGCTAAGATTCAAATGAGGGTTTTTAATTATGTGGGTGGTCAATTTCTAATGTGCTTTAGATGCGATTTTCAATTTTATATTAGATTATAACAGAAGTCAAATCTTTCTCAAAGTGGGTGCTATCTGGTTGGTAACACAAAATATAGCTCGACAGTGAGATCTTGTTGACCAAATGTATTATTAGGATTTGTCTTTGGCATTCTGCTTCGGTGAAATATATCAATTTACACCAAAATATCTTGTTTTTAAAAACCTAATAGCTTCAGGTTGACAACTTAGAGCCCAAAATGGGAAAGTGCTACCAATGCAAGTTCCATTCTGGGAAAGTGCTCTGTTTCAAACAAAGAAAGAACTTTCATTTTTATGGTGCCTTACACATAAAAATGTCTCAAAGTGCTTTACAGTAATTACTGTCAAGTGCAGCGACTGTTTTCTTAGGTGCATGAGACAGCCCTTTTGCCCAAACAAAGCCATGAATTACTGATTAATCTGGAGGCCAGGATTTGGGAGAAACTTCCTTGTCTTTTGAAATAATGCCATGAGGTTCTTTAACATCTACCTGAACAACCTTAATTTAATGTGTCACTCCAAAAGTGTAGCACTCTTCCATATAGCACTGGAGTGTCAACCTAGATTATGAGCTCAGGTCTCATTAGAGGGCTTGAATCCTCAAACCTTCTAACCTTAAATTGCTGGTAACTGAACGAGATTGACAGCTAAATGTTTATATTGTTTTTGTCAGTGTGTACTAGCACTATAGTCAAACCAGTTCCCAACATGTTTGTAACAGTGTTATTTATACTTTGACAACACCCATTTGAAAAAGCTGCTTGCTTAATAACAGAATTAAAGAATGGGAACAAAATAAAATTGTATATATTTTCAGTGGTCGGTAAATAAGTAACTAGAGGGCATCAATTTACGGTAGTAGTTAAATGAGCAAATGAGGAAGTTAGGAGAATGTTTTCATTTATAGAGTAGTTAGGATATGAAATGTCCTGGTGGGAATGGTGGTTGAGGCAGAATCCATATTGGCCTTCAAGAAGGAACTACAACAACTTGCATTTATCTGCCGGGTAGCGTCCAGGAGCACTTAAAACTGGCGGAGTCTGACCCTGAGCCAGGGGGAGAGGGAGAGGGAGGTGATTATAAGTACGATCAAAAATGAAGGTGTATATGCGGGATTTGAAAGTGGGGAGGGAGGGGGCAAGGCGGAGGAATTAGGGGAGAGAGTTCCAGAGCTTCAGTGCGTAGTGACTGAAAGCACGGCAGTTGATGGTGGAGTGGAGGGGGCGAGGGATGAACAGGAGGCCGGAGGCAGCGGGTAGTGGAGTTGGGGGGTGAGCAAGTTGGAAAGGTAGGGAGGTCTGAGGGCATGAAGCGAATTAGACTAGTGCAAACTAGACAAGTAAGTACCTTAAGAACGAGTCAGCTACAGGTTATGGGGAAAGGGCAGGTAAATAGGATTGAAAGGATTGCTCTTGAGAGAACCAGCACAGCCATGATGGCCCAAATTGCCTTTTTTGTGCTGTAAATTTCTATGGTTTTATAGTTCTATATTATAGTATGTTATTATGTAAGGCAAAGAGGGCATAATGCAAAATATGATATTATACTTATGATATGTACCTGTTTAAATAAAAATGTTTCTTTTGTCCTACTTGACAACATCAATTTGAAGAAGCTGCTGCAATGGCTTTCGGTAGAAATCTACTGATACTTTTACATTGGGTTGCCTCAAAATGCAGTGTGAAGTATATTATTGAGGTGATGTTCCTTCTTGTTGGTTGACTGGAACCAAGAATTCAGACATTTTACTCTGTGGGTGGAGTGGGGCGTGAATTGGACAGATGTGAGGTTTGCTCCCGATATCATAGGTACATTTTAAATTAGCTTTTTTACCTAACAAAATAGCTATCAAAGATACCGGAAGTCTCCTGTAACAGTTATTTTTGTTTATGCTCCTTCCTCCTAACCCAAAATTTACACCAAAATTTCAAATGAATTGGCTGCTCATCTCATTTCTGCTTGTGAATATTGCTGTATAGATTATAATTTTTTTTATAATGTTTATAAATTTTGCCTACAAATACACAGTCACTGTCACTTCAGTAAATCCTACGAAGCTCTTTGGGACATTTCAGTGGCATTAGGCGATGTATCAAATGAAAAGATTATTATAATGGCATTCAATTCACTTCTAATCAATTCTATTTTGTAAAACGTGTTGCGATATTTATTTTTATGTGAATATCCCTATGCAAATGAACTTTACTTTGGCAGGGAAGGAATTAAGCAAGAGGAGATTAATCACTATTAAAGAGGCAGTGAGATTATTTGTTGAGGTGGTCAAATTTTATTTGTAATTTAGATGATCGATTTTTAATCTATCAGGATGTGAGGCATAATCTAAAGTTACAGCAATATTATTCAATTATTAGAATTAGGACCAGGTTTACTAAGATGCAAAATACAGAAGAACTTTTGAACTGTAATTTTCCTATCTGTGATCGTGTTTCTGTTCTTGGTAGGGTTACTTTGTTCTTCAGCACCTAGAGAGCAGAATTGGACAAAAAGCATTTCTGAAGTTTTTCAGATTGTTTGTGAAGAGCTTTCATGGACAACTCATTCTTTCTCAGGTTAGTTATATTATGTGATTCATTCATTTGTTTGCAGCAGTCTGATTATGTGAGATGTACAACAGCTAACCAAAGCCTGCACCTAATATCTACCCATATTTCTCAGTGGGTGCAGATGTATGTCTGAGCTACATGCAGGAAGATAGTGGCAATCTCTCACGAGGAAGTACGCAGTACCTGTCATCCACCTAGTACCTGTCTCATCGGCCAGTCCTGGAAGGGCAGGAATTCTTTCCGCTCAGTTCTTGTTAAACCCTGCAAGCCACAGCCTTAATGGGTGGTCCTATGTGGTCAAGCAGCAGGAAGCTTGCCAGGCAGTGGTTTTGAACCCCTCCAGTCGGTTTCCTTGCTGCCCATAGCACGGAAACCGCCCTGGTCAAGGTCACTAATGACATCTTGACCATTTGCGACCAGGGCTCCCTCTGCCTCCTCGTCCTCCTCGACCTATCGGCCGCATTCGATACAGTCGACCACTCTATCCTCCTCCCTCGCTTGTCCTCCCACCTCAACCTTCAAAGCCCTGTCTTTGAGTGGTTTAGGTCCTACCTCTCCCACCATCTTCATTTTGTCTCTGCAAACAGCTTTTCCTCCAGTCCACGGACTGTCTCGTGCGGCATCCCTCAGGGCTCTGTCCTCGGTCCCCTCCTCTTCACCCTCTATATGCTCCCCCTTGGTGACATCATCCGCAGACATGGGGTTAACTTCCACATGTATGCGGATGACACCCAACTCTTCCTTTCCTCTTCTACCCTCAACTCCACGACCACCGATGTCCTGACAGCTGCCTGTCTGACATCGAGTCCTGGACGAGAGTCAACTTTCTTCAGCTCAATGTGCGCAAAACTGAGGCCCTCCTGATTGGCTCATGTCAGCGCCTCCGCACCTCAGGCGCTGACAGCATCAGCATCCAAGGCTGCACTCTCCACCTCTCAAAACCAGTCAGGAACCTCGGTGTTCTGTTCGACCCTGAGCTGTCCTTTCTTCCCCACATCCGCGCCACAACTGGCACTGCCTTCCACCACCTCTGGAACATCGCCAGACTACGGCACTACCTCACCCCTCACGCTGCTGAAACTCTGGTCCACGCCTTTATCACCTCAAGGCTGGACTATGGGAACTCTCTCCTCGCCGGCCTTCCCGGCCCCTCCCTCCACAAGCTGCAGGTCATTCAGAACTCTGCAGCTCGTGTACTGTCCCGCACCAGGACCACATCACTCCCACCCTCGCTCGCCTCCACTGGCTCCCCATCCCCCAGAGGATCGAATTCAAGATCCTCATCCTCACCTACAAGACCATTCACGGCCTTATTCCCTCCTACCTCTCTGACCCACTATCCTCCTACCTACCTGCCCGTACCCTCCGTTCCTCTGGCTCCGGTCTGCTCCACATCCCCCGCCCTAACCGCCCTACCATCGGTGGCCGGGCTTTCAGCCTCTCAGCCCCTAGGCTCTGGAACTCCATCCCCCAGTGCCTTCGCCGCCTCCTCCCTTTCCTCCTTCAAGGCCGGTCTCAAGACCTTTCTCTTCAACTGGGCCTTCTCTTCCCCTCTCGACTCTCTACCCACTCCTCGCTCCATCCCTTCCCTCCCCTCACCCTGACCATTTCCCCCCTGCTCGGGTCCTGACCCAACTGTCCAGTGCCTTGGGACGTCCTCCCGACGTGAAAGGCGCTCTATAAATGGAATCTTGTTGTTGTTGTTGTTTCAATGGCAAGTTATGCTCTTTTAGCTGATTAGACTCCAGCAGTAACTCAACGCACACTCCTCAAGCCTTGACTTTTGTCAACCTGCACCGAATACTCCCCAGCATTAGGTAAGCAGGGTGCATGCCAACAGGGAGAGAGTGCGCATTCTATTCCAGACATGGAAATTTCCATGGGTAAGTGGCATACGTGGAATTATGGGCCCCTGGTATTTGGGGAAACTCAGGGGAAAAAAAACGCTTTCTTGGAAACATGGAGAGAAACTCAGTGGAAAAAAGAAAAGTATTAGGTCTCACTGATTACATTGAGAACAAAATGCACTTGAGCTAAAGCAGATGCATCTGTTCCAAAATTAAGCTGCGTTGACAGCATTTCAGTAAGGTCCTGTTTCTTCTTCACAGTATAGTAGCTGTGAGATTCTAAATCTTAGTTCACTTTTGTTTTTCCTAAAAATAGGATTTTCTGCACATGCTCATGGAGAATTTTCCACATCTAAAAACGTAAGTAGGAAAAAGTTTACTGTTTTTCACTGGAGATTATGTTCAGTGCAGGTTGGTGTGATTGTTTAGGAAGTGAGCAAAGTAATTCTCATCCTCCATAATAGAATTTAATAGAACTTATTTTTGACAGTGTGTTAAAGGATAACTTATTCACAGAGATTAGCACTTTACTAAGGTGTATATGTTTTTGTTCACAATAGTCAGGGACTATCTTCAGATGCTGTTTATCGAGACTGGCTGGATGTTGCAGGGCTTCCGAAGGTAATTTTTTCCATTTGAGCTCCTAAGATCAGTTCTCTCTAAATAAACTATTTAAGTGTCCCAAGTGTTGGAATCTGTGCTTGTGCAATATTCATACCTCCTCTTTTCTTTGTGTGTGTGTGTGTGTGTGTATATGAATTTCTGTGTGTCGTCTATCACAGATCTGTAGCTCAGTGGTTAGGTGGAGTCCTGTAGCTCAGTGGTTAGAGCACTTGCCTTGCAAGCAAGACACCTGGATTCAATTCCAGGCAGGGTGAAACCTTGAGCAAATTTCCTTACACCACATGCCTAATATTAATCCCTCCAAAAAACAAAACAATAATAAATTGGTCATTTTCAATCCACGATTATTTGTGGGACACTGCTGTGCGCAATTGGCTGCTGCAATTCGCCCACAAATATACAGTCAATTCACTTTACAGCATTTTCTGTGAAGAGCTTTGAGACGTCGAGAAGGCATGAAAAGCGCTATATCAAATGCAAGGATTATTATTATTATTATCTCCTTTAAATTGGTTTATCAAAAGCTAATTTTTGAACGATTCATGTGAGATTTTGTTTATATCACAAGTAAACTATATCCTGCTTTAGGAGCAAATAATGGCCTCTGTACTAAACAGCATTATTTTTCACAAAGACCATTAACAAATGATTCTGAACAGGAAAATAAACTTAAAATACAATTCGACAAAAACTATCAAATACAATGACCGTTTGCTTGCAAATATTACCATAGGCTTTTCTTAATTGAGTTATTTACTGTATCATCTGCAAGGAACAACGTTTTGGGATTTGACGGAACACCCTTTTTACTCCCGTAGTTAAAATACAGTTTTTTGAGGATTAATTCTAATTAATTGCTTAATACAGAAACAGAATTTAAATGGGAAAATAATTTCAAATATGTGGACTGATTTACTTCAATTCCTGCAATTTTTAGTGGTATACTGATTGTTCTGACAACTCAGTTGCAAAGGTTGAGGAAGGTATTTGTTTTTTCATATCCATGGCAATAAATCAAAGCAAACAAAATACAGTACAAATGCTCCATTCATACAACATAACCTGTTAACTCATGTAGGTGCTCATTCAGATGATTATTGCTTCAATGACAAGTGACAAGTCATGCACTGCTGATGCCAGAGAAGCCAGAACTGATCAGTGCCAGAACTTGGAGGCACAGGCTGGTCACTGGAGCAGGGATTCTTCCTCCTCAGGTCCTGTGAACCCTGCAACCCATAGCCCTAATGGGTAAGGTGGTCCTAATTGGACAAGCAGCGGTAAGCTTACCAGACAGTACTCCACATGTGTCAGACACCCGGCTGACCCAAATAAATAGTTACACACCACCTTACAGCATTGTGCCATCCTGTGCTTAATATACTCCATAATTTTGTAAGCAGGGTGGATCCTTTCAGGGTTGAGTGTGTATTTCATTCCAGATACAATGAATTAGATGGAACTCTCAGTCTACCTCAGATACTCTTAAGCATGGTAGTGGGCTTTCACATGTGTCAAACACCCAACTGACCAAAAGAAAACAGTGTACCACCTTGCAGCAAACAACTGTGTTACAGGTTCAATCTCCCACACTGTTGAACACTTGATCTCAATTACACCCCCTTGGGGAGGAATGAAGGAAATGTCAGGCACCTCGCTACCTAATTGGACAAGCAGCGGGAAGCTTACCAGACTCTAAATAAATAGTCACGCATAGTCATGCAGCATCGTGCCATCCTGTGCTTAATATACTCCATAATTGGGTAAGCAGGGTGGTTCCTTTCAGGGTTGAGTGTGCTACCTGAGGTAGAGGGACAATGAATGGGATCTTCAAAAGGCTGGTCAGGTGGGAGGGATGTACAGCTTATGAGAAAAGATTTAGGAGAAGACCTTGGAAGACAAAAAGGGTACGTATCTTTCCAATGAAAAAATAATAATTTTCATCAAATATTATTCTGAAAACCACTTTAGACTGCTTCTCTGAATAAGATGTCATTTTGCCTAAATTATCTGTTTAGCTGTGGCATAGATTGGTGATGTAAAACTCGCTCTACTGTTTTCTAAACTTTAAGCATATTTTCCTTCTTAAAGCTAATACATATTAACCGTGCACTGATTGTAGTACAAACAAAATACTGTACATACCACAGCTAAGAATGTTAACAGTGAAGCAATTGTCAATATACCTTTATGGCCTAACCATGGAGTTGAAGTAGAGAAAAATCTTGCCTTTGAACTCAAGGGTGACACTTAGGGTGACCAAATCGTAATCTACCTGTTCAGGTGCACATCAAAAATCCAATGGGACACAATTTAAGTTAGAAGGGAGTTTCCTGGAAAAAATGGTGGCTATGTTTGCCTACAAATACACTATATTTTACAGTAAAGACAAGGGAAGTGCTTTAAAACATGCTCCCAATGTGTAAAGTGCTATATCAAATGCAAGGATTATTACGATGGAATCTATATTGTGGCAAATATTGATGAGGGAGGAATATTGACAAGAACACAAGAAGAACTCCCAGTCTTGTTTTCAAAGAGGTGAGATACAGTAGAAACCCATTATAATATGTTTGTTATAAGACAGGTTGGTTATAGTATGAATTAGATTGAGGATGCCCAATCATTACGTGTGTGCACAGGCAATTGACTTCCTTCTGCACCCTACCATGGCTCTTGAACTTAAAGATGGCCAACCTCAAGTCAGTAGGTAATCACGGATATCACTACCTACATTTGAGAAAGAAGTGACATAGACGGGGACCTGATGATCTCCCCCACTCCAAAACAAAAGGCCGACCTCTAGGTCAGTCTGAGATAGAGCATTATCCCGTGAATAAACCAAGTAAGAAAATGTTGCATGCTTGCAAACTGCAACAGAGACCTTGTTGAAATCTTCCAGTTAGTTCCCAGTTGCTGATTAGGAATACACAATTTTGACCCCATTGATGTATACAATGCTTGTTTTTTATTTTATTAAATATCCGATTTACTGTTGTATAACGTTTGAAAGTTATGTCAGGGAAAACATTCTCTGCAAAGTGGTATTCTGATAAACCTGAGGTATGAGGTACCTCAGAAGTCTTGAGATGGCTTCATTCGTAAGATTTTGCAGAGGTGATGACTACAGGATTAATACAGTCTTTGAAACATCTGCAGTCCTGCTCAGAAACCATGTGTGCCACCAGGAATCTGCAGTCCTGCCTGAAGGAATGGAGGTTTGACCTCACTGATCCATGCAGTGAACTTTCACCATTGCCTGGAATCCTAAGCATCACCCAGTAATGTTCTGAGTAAAGAGCCATTGTAATCTATCCAGTTTTGTTGTTTTACATTGTATACATGTTCCAGTAGCAGTGAGTAAACACTATTAATTATGTGAGTCAGAAAAGTGTTGTAAAGTGGTCCATTTTTAGATTCTGCTACAGCATGAGCCCACACCAATCTAGTACTTTACTCTGCAAGGGTTGATACAGTTAAAAACAAATCATATACTGTACAGTACACAAAGTCCTGTTACTCCATTTATTCTCTCTCTATAGTGCACTGACCAACAACTGAAATATGCAGAAGAATGGTGACAATTGTGTTTAGAAGTACTTAATTGTATTCAGTACAAGTGTTTAACTGTATTTAGTTGTCCAGCGTATTGGTGTGAGCTCCATCATTTTCATGGCAGGTAATGATTCGTCGCCATGTTCAGTGCAACATCTTCCATAACACGATGGAGTGATGAGGTGAAATGCATCACTGACAACTTGTTTCAGCGCCACCACAATCTTGTATCACTGTTTTGTAACAGGGGGTAAGAGGGCTTTATGGCTTCCCTACACTGCTTACAGGATCATCTGTGAGGTCTTTGCAGGTACAGACTGTAGCTCCCAAATCTGAAACAGTTAAGAACTTTATTTTAGGGATTTTGTTTCTTACACTTTAACCATTAATTGCTTTGCCAGTTAAATATTAATATGATGAAGATGTAGACACAGTGCAATGTTAACAGACAAATGGTGGCTCTATTGGTAAGTTACATTGAAAGCATAGTTCTCATTAAAGCATCACATTTTGAAAATCTTACCCCAATTTAATCCCTTCTCTCTCGCGACTTCCACTCTCCCAGTTGGAGGGGGAGCTGAAGAGCTTTCTCTAGAGGCTGTCAATTGTGCAGGATTGTAGGTGAAAGGAGACTTTCAGAGGGAGGAGCGGAATGGAATATATCTGTCCAGTCACGTTTTCTACCCTTAAGATAAAGGAGACGATGAGACATTCCATACAACAGTCCAAATGAGAACTAATAAAACTCAACCACAGAAAACATCAATACCTGAATGAAAGTTGAGCTTGAATTTAAACCTAAGCACCAGGTGGACTGTTCACCCACCTCTCTCCCACCACTCCCATAGATTTTGATAATTTCTTTCAATGAAAACAATACAAAATACATTACACAGAGAATAATAAAAATCATCTGGGAGTGAGTTATAATGTTGAACAGTTTACACGGGATGATTAAACCAATGCTGTGCCAGTTGTTAGCGTTCTCACTGCTGAGTCAGAAAGTTGTGGGTTAAAGCCCACATCGGGACTTTGGAATCACATAGTCTAAACTGACACTCCAATGCAGTGCTGGGGGTATGTTGCATTGTTGAAGGTGCTGTCCTTCGGATGAGACTTTAAACCGAGGTCACGTCTGCCTGTTCAGGTGGATGTTAAAGATCCCATTGCACTGTTCGAAAAGAGAAGGAAGTTTCTCCCAGTGTCCTAGCCAACAGGTCGCCCAAATAGAATTGGTCATTCACTCCATGGCTGCTCCACATCCCCCGCCCCAACCGCCCTACCATCGGTGGCTGGGCCTTCAGCCTCTCAGCCCCTAGGCTTTGGAACTCTATCCCCCAGTGCCTTCGCCACCTCCTCCCTTTCCTCCTTCAAGGCCGGTCTCTTTGACCGTGCCTTCAGCTCCCCTCTCGACTTTCTGCCCCCTCCTCGCTCCCTCCCTTCCC